TCCAAGGATAAATATCCTTTTGTGGATCTGTCATGCCTAGCTCTTTTGTTTTCCAAAAGAGGAAGCTCATATTTTGGTAAATAGAGGTACTCGGGAAGAGGCCCGGAAGGGACGGAAAGTCCGATAACGCCCAGACTTGTAAAGCCGGGAGACATAAAAATAGAAGATGGTTGATAGATTCTTCAGGGTTCCCGCAGCGGGGGCACCGCCTATCCGTTCCCAAATGCCTTCGGGTCAGGTTTTGGCAAGTAGCAATGCATCCTGATAAAGCTTTCCACATGAGATGTTTCATTTTTCCAGGTGTTCGTACTTTCCAAACATAACTTTGAAGGGCTGTAATACTTGGTTCTCCCACTATATCTGTATTTTGAGCAAGCTTCGCTCTTCTAATCAAATCATAACCCGATTTAACCGAATATATCCCTGATTTAGTGTGGTTCCATGCATATTCGTCTAGGGTACGGTTTCTAGTAGGTCTCAACCCAAGGATAAGCGAGACATCCTCAGGTTGGAAGCAGACTCTTAGGAGAGGCTCATCCCATTGTTTCGTATCTTGATTGATAAGATGATATACCAGCATTCTTGGATCTTGAAAGCCGATTTGGGGGGCTGCTCTTGGAGCTCGTGCTCTAGCATCGGGGATCCAAAGCTCACTCCAGACTCTAGTGTTGAGTCCCGACCCGATTTTTTTCCTGAGTCCCTATTTGAGGTACGGTTTAGCAGCCAACATACTCCTCCATCCATAAGATGGTGAGTAGACTTTTCGGTCCTCTAATGGATCAGATTGTCGAAAGTATCTTCCTCTTAGCACTCGAGCCAGAAGAGAGTTTGGATACTGAATGAGTCTCCATAGCTGCTTGGCTAGTAGGGCTAGGTTAAAATCGTTAAGATCCCTAAATCCAAGGCCTTCCATATCGTGGGGAATGCAAATCTTATCCCATGCAATCCAATGTATTCCACTGTTATTTTGTTTCGAGCTCCACCAAAAATTGGCAATGGCGCTACGGAGTTTGTCTGTTATCCCTTGTGGAAGAAGAAAGCAAGACATGACGTATGTCGGAACGGCTTGAGCCACTGATTTGATCTGAATCACTTTTCCGCCTTTGGAAACAAGTCTTGCAGACCAATTATTGACCCGGGAACTTAGGCGATCATGGACAAAAGAGAAGACTTTCTTCTTTGATCCGCAGATTTGCTCTGGGAGGCCTAGATACATGCCCATGCCACCTTCTGTCGAGATGCCAATGGTATTTCTAATAGCTCGTTTTTGGTTCGGATCCACTTTATTTCCGAACATGATGGATGATTTTCCGAGGTTTAGTTGTTGTCCTGATGCCGCTCCATAAGTGTTTAATATTCTGAGAATCTCTGATCCTTGTTGTATATTCGCTTTACAGAAAAACAGGCTATCATCAGCAAATAGTAGGTGGGACACTGGAGGGCTTGCTTGGACCACCTTCAGCCCAGAAATCCTTTCTTCTTCCTCAGCACCTTTTAAGAGAGAAATCAGGCCTTCTGTGCACAATATAAAGAGGAACGGGGAGAGAGGATCTCCTTGTCTTAATCCCCTTGATGGTTTAATGTGTCCTTTAGGTTCTCCATTAATAAGAACCTGGTATGAAACCGAGGAGATGCAATACATAAGTAACTCAACCCATCTCGCTGAGAAGCCTAACTTAATCAGGAGGGCTTCGATGAAACTCCATTCAACCCGATCATAAGCTTTGCTCATGTGTGTCTTTATGGCCATAAAGTTTTCTCTACAGGTGGTGTTGGTCCGGAGTGCCTGAAAGTTTTCTTGGGCTAACAAGATACTATCAGTAATAAGTCGTCTAGCCATGAAGGCCGATTGTGTTTCCGAGATGATGTTAGGTAGTGTCTTTTTTAGCCGCTTGCACATAAGTTTTGATATGATCTTGTAACTCACATTACAAAGACTGATTGGCCGAAATTCTGCCATCGCTCTAGGTTTATTTTTTTTCGGAATTAGACAAATGTTGGTCTGGTTGAGTCTATGGTCAAAAGTTCCAACCACTATTCATCTAAACACCAAATTTTGGTGTTGTGAAAAATGTCAAATTTAGTGTTTGGGTGAATAGTAGTTTTTTATATCTCCAACCACAACACCATATCTCATACTAAAAAGATATTTTTATTATTATATTATTAAATAATTTAAATTTTAAATTCTTTGTATCTCTTAATAGTTTTGATAAATACTAAGTATTCATATAATAAATTAACAACTAATTATTTATAACATTACACTTAGTGACGAAAAAAATAATTACAATCGATAAAATAAAAACAACGAAAAATAAAATACATAATACTAATTCTCAGAATTAGTATATTTTGAGAATTAGTATATTCAAACCACAAATGTTCGAGTAATGCATTTTAAAGTTCAATACGAGCTTCTCGGTCTTTAATTTATTTATAAGGTTTTATAAATTTTTTAGAAAGGTTTATAAAATGTCTTATAAGGCTTTATAAGATTTCTTATAAGGGTTTATAAGATTACTTAAATTAATATTATGTCTTTAAAACTTATCTTGTTTTATTTAAAATTTTATGTTTGTTTGATTTTAATTTTGTAATTTTATGTTTTCAGTGTTTTTAATTGAATTTTATTTAATCTTAGTGATAGTGTGTATTAATTTAAATATTTTATGTATTTATAGTAATTACAATTTAATTTCATATTAATTATACTTAAAAATTATATTACTCTAAATGATAAGATAAAAACACAATTTGGTATATTAATTCTAGTTATAAAATTTAATCAATTGATAAATAATATAATATTTATATTATAATAAAAGTAATAATAAAATATTATTATATTCTTTTTGAGTTTTGTGAATAGTGCAATACCAAATTTGGCGTTGCATATAGAGTTCCATTGGAGAAGGACGAACGCCATATTTGGTGGGATGCAGTTCAATTGGAAAAGCTCTAAACGACAATATTTTACTATTCATTCCTTCATCTTTTGTTCCACTTAGTTCCTACATGATTGGTGCCAAACTTTCAACAATCTTTATTTTTTTGAACATGGTAAACTATATTTACGTCTGTTTAGTAGGTCATAAGCATTTCTATAGAATGTATTAAAATGATTAGTAGTTTTTTATTTTAACCATTAATTAGCTAAACAAATTGTCATACGTATCCACAAACATTTACATAAACTTTATATTATAAAAAAATAGTATATCTTACACATAATCACAATTAGACTAATAGAATATAGACCCCCATTGGCGGTCTCTATGCAAAGGAAAATTGTATAGTGGTTGCTTAGCCTTCGCATGGATATTTTGATGTCTACTGAAATAAAGAAATCGAAAGCTTTTATAGGTCATCGCTGATTCTTTGTTGAGTTAGTAATTGATATCGAATATAATAGTCACTCTGATTTGCTTTGATTCTTTTTTTACTTAATTACTTCCACAAACATATATATCTTTCTCAATTCTTCTTCTTTGCGGTGGTGATGGTCCATTCTTTCTCTGCGATGTCATCTATTCTGATTTCCCGACACTTGTTCTCCTACCTCGTGTTTATGTACTCTCTCTGCTTCTTCTTTTTTTTTTGTCATTAATCTCCTCCTCTCTCTCCCTCTCCTACTCATGGCTTGTCCTCTCTTCTTTTTTCTTCCTCCTTTCACGACTCTTTCTCTTCTTTTTTTTTCTTTTTTTATTTCTCATTTTTTCTCTTGGCCTCTTATGACTGCTCCTATTTTTTTCTTATTTTTGGTTCAGTAATCTAACTAAGATAACTTGTATATAAGGAGATATACATTTGTTAATTTAAGAGAGATAAATCACACTTTTTAGGAGAGTTATCTTAATAAATGTATGTTTATCACTGAATTCAATAATTTAAATAATAAATTGATGTTTATTTACGAAGAGATTTTTGAAAATTATTAAATAATAAAAATCTAATAATTTTTTAGAAGATGATGTGTCAAAAGGATGAGTGCTTAGATGTCAAATTTGTGAGACTCAACTCACTCTTTATATAATGAGAAAATTGCTGAATGGGTAGTTTTTAATTTTTAAATTAGAGGAATAGGATGTTTTGAAAACCTTGGAAGGATAGGGCTGTTTTTACTGTTTGTCTTCCCACAAGGGCCCTAAGGCAATTTTTATTTTCAAAATTGCCATTATCGAAGTAAAAAAACTAAAAATTTTAGAATAAATCCGATTTGGTAAACCGATTACACAAAATTATAAACCGAAGTCCAATAACCACATGTATAATTTATCGACAGCCCAACATTTAAATTAAAAATTAAATTTGGGATCCACATCTCGACGTAGTTCATCTAGCATCTCCGGCAATCCATCTCCGATTAGCCATCCGATTGACCGTTGTAATGGCGCGGAAAGTAAAAAAATCGTTAAGGCACAACAACACCGTGCCTCCGGTTTCGAGGCGAGTGCTCCGGAGTAACTCGAAGTCAGCTCCGACGGACCACTCGCCCATACCGCCCATGTCACCGCGGCGGAGTGACCACCGGGTTGAACATCCCATTCACGGCAGTCGTCAAAATCCACGCCGGCGGTGTAGATCCAAAGTACAATTCGCTCCTCTTCTTCTAGAATGGCCTGCTCAGAATTCTAAAAGTAAGTTACATTTATGAACTTCGACCTTGTCTGAACTGGCGGGTTGTAACTGAAATTAAGAGTGAAACGGGCGCCTGATTGGCCTGATTTATGTATTAGCGGTTATGAACTCTAGTACTTATGTCTATATATTGAATTCAAACGGTTGGATTACTCTTATATCATCTAGAAACAGTTACAGAAGTTTATATAGGAATCCATACGGAATCCATACGAATAGGGTAGTTTTTCCAGATCTCTGTTAACTCCTTCGAACTCCTTTCCCTCAAACTTTTCCCCTGGGTTTGCATTTTTAACTGTTTATCCAGAATATTATATCTTTCCTGCATTTCAGAATTGTTTTTTGGTTCAAATACAGGAATGGAAGACGGAGAACCTTCGAATACAGGCATGGAAGATGGGGAATCGTCAAACAACATTTCGGAAAAACTACCAAAAAGGGTCCTCGGCGATGGTTGCTACCCCGTTGGTGCTCGGTTGAACATATATTCAAAAGCCAATGTCATTGGCCTCCTTGTGGAGGCGTTAAAGGGTACTGAAGATCTTGAGAAGCTACTTCATTCCCAGTTTGGGAAGTTATTCCATCTACCTGTTGCAAGATGTTGCAACAGCGCCAAACTAGTCCATGCCCTTCTATCACGACAACTTGTGACCACGAAGAAACACGAAATTTGGTTCCTCTTTGGTGGACAGCCTCTGAGATATTCGATACGAGAGTTTAAGGAAATCACTGGATTGAATTGCAATCCCGAACCTGATAGCACAGAAGAAGAAGAAGATGTCGGAAAGGCAGGAACCTGGAAAGACCTGTTCGAAAGAGCGAAGGCTATGAACGTGTTTGATGTGCTTGAAATGCTAAAGGACCCGGATCTACCCCGATGGAAACGCCTTCCATTGGCCCTAATCGTTCTTGTCGACAGTGTTCTATTTTGCAATAGTAAAAATCTGGCCCTCACCGAGAAATACGTTGCGATGTTGACTGACTTGGAAAGGTTCATGTTGTATCCATGGGGGAGGGTATCCTTTAACAAAACAGTATCTCGATTTCAAGCTCCGAAGGCAATCACGGATGCCGAGAAAAGGGAGAATCCTGTAACACGATTGCGCCGTCAACTTAATCAGAAAACCAGTGCATGCTATGGATTCTCTCTATCACTACAACTCATGGCCCTCCAATATATACCAATGTTGGTTTCCAAAATTCCTCAACCTGATAACTTGAAGACATTCGCTGAAGATCCCGAAGGCTGTCAAAACGTTATCACACTATTGCATCTTGGGGACATACTTGCCGTGGAATCCGACCCTTTGGTAAATTATTTGTAGTATTATATTTAGTACTATTTGTAGTCTTGTTTTGTAGTACTTGTCTTAAAAGATCAGTGCTCTGTCATTTTGGTTAGTAATTTTGCAATTGTTTTTTTTGTCTTAGTTGTCTGTCAAACAGATGGTAGTGGATGATGGTGACAATGACTAACAGAATGAATTGCGTTGGGGAGATGAGGTAGAGGATGCCGAAGTTGCATTCATCAGGAACTCATGGCCGAGGGGTACAAATTCTCACCTTCCGATTTTGTAGTGGCACCGGCACCTATCGTGGATATTAGTGATGCAGAGTACGAGGTTACCAATGAACAGGAACCTGAGCCATCCACCCGACCGAAGAAGAAACTGAAAACTCATCAAACTGAAAAACGTAAGATGCAGAGGAAGAGAGGCAGGGGCAAGAACTCTTCTAATCTATCGGATGATGAAACCCCTGAAAGTGGACAGTTTAAAGATCTTAAAAGATGGATAGTAAGTCAGAATAATTTGCTCCTTCGTAACATTAAGACAGAATTGGACAAGAGATTGGGCGTATACCAACAGGACGAAGAAGATGACGATGTACACCAGTCAAAAGAAGATGGGAAACAAGATGACGAAGGACAGAATCCAAAAAAAGATGGTCAAAAATCGGATGAAGACAAAGCCGAAGATGGAGAAAGAGGTTATGATGGTGCACAGTCAAGCGTACGCCATGATGATGGTGTACACCCCGAAGATGGGGTACACGAGAAAGAACGAGATGATGAAGAAAGGACCTCTACTTACTACGGCGGCGACCATTATTCTCCTATGGACCATGCGTACTTGAAGACTCCAGAAGCTCCGACGAAGAACCCTGAACCCGAACAAGCCAATTCAGGAACAACTCGTCCACCTCCTTACTTCGTCAATCCGGATGAAGATCCACCTGCTGGCCTCATCGAGGTGAGCTAATTGTTTAGTTACCAGCTGACTCTATTAAGTTTCATAACGTGTGTGTATTGTGGTATGTTTTTTATGAATTATTCAGGTGGATGGTGGTAGAACAAATTTGGTGTCAGACACCTTAGTAGTCTACAAACCTCAGACTCCTCACCCATTGAGCTACGCATATAAGAAAAATGAAGCGCAGACAGATGCGCTTCATGCACAGGATGCACAGGTCAGACAATAAAGTTGTTCATATGATATGCATGTGTATACAGTAGTATTTAGGTCTACGATAGGTATACGATTGATATGTTATACGCTCTATTGTTACGGTGGTATGTAGGCTGTGGCTAATGAGGACGACTCAAATGCGGGGAAAGAATATCATACTGCACCTGAGGATGCAAGTGATGCTTCGCAGAAGACCCCTTGTACTCCAAAACCCCCCACAAGAAGTTGAGGGATCATCTGGTGTAAAGAGAAAAAGTGGAGGAACAGGAAGAGGAGGAAGAGGTAGAGGAACAGGAAGAGGCGTAAGAGCTAGAGGAAAACGCGCATGCGTACGGTCGGACAAGATTCGAGATATTTACACCGCAGATTCAAAGGTCAAAGCTCTATTTTTATCGAGATCGAAAGCTGCGTACAAACCACTCGAAACAGTGGAACAAGACCACTTCAAGGCATTCCAGGAGTTATTATCGCGTGAAAGAAACATGTAAGTTATATCGTATTGAAAGCAATTTATCCTTAAATTTCATTGTTATCAATTACCAATTGCTCTCATTACAGCGACTTTTGCATTGTCACTGGTCATACTGTCAACGATCAATTCTTCCTACAAATTGTGAAGCCTACTGAGTGGTTAACACGATGGTAAGTATATAGTTAGTAATATACGTTATTTATATGTTATTTATGTTTTGTTATTCGTCAGCACATGCAAGTCATAATGGCCATGCTTTGGAGACGTAGAGGTGAAATATACTTGAAAGACAGGGTAGCATTTGTAGACACCTTGTTCATATCCATCATCGGCAACTACTACAACGATTTCATATCGCGAGACAAAAATCAGTATGACTGGGGGAAAACCATTCAAGGCATTGTCTTGGGAAAACCAGCAAAGTGGGCTAATCAGCGACAGAGGCAAATTTTTCTACGGTTTGTGGACGTTGTATACGTCCCGATGAACTGGGGGTCTGAGCATTGGGTGGGCCTTGTAATTGACTTTAAAACGGGCAACATAAAGATTTTGGACTCATTCATCAGTCATAATGATGAAGCGGCTGTGGAGCAGTATATGGCGCCCGTGTGTCAAAGTATGCCATTTATATTGAAGCGTTATTTGGATAGCAAATTAACGGAAGGCATACGCACCACCCCTTACACATGGAGTCGTTTGGAGGGCATATATCAGAACAAAAGATCCGGTGACTGTGGGCCATGTGCTGCCAAATTCTTAGAGATGCATGCTGCAGGGCTTGGAGTGGAGAATATGGGTTTGATAACGGACGATGACGTTGACAGGTTAACGGAGAAATACGCCATGGACTCATACAAAGAGTTTGTCGGGAATCCGGCTGTTGCCAACGCTTAGGACGAATGCTGAAGTTTAGTGTTGAACTTGACAATTTATGAGAAGGCTATTATGTCTTTGATAATGTTTAGGATGTGGGTTTATTTGATAATTTCTATGCTTATAAATTAGTTTACTTTACTACCTATTAATTAGTGTGTCAATTATTTAGTTTGCTTATAATTTCGTTTACTTCAATAATTGCGTATCCGTACACCAATTTGCGTTTAGTTGTACACCAATATGCATCAAATTGGAGTACATCAAGAAACTTTATTTTAGTTTTTATTAATTGGTCTGTGAATACTTTGTTCCCGGCTTAATATGTATCTGTACACCAATATCCATTAATTGGTCTGTGAATACTTTGTTCCCGGCTTCCCAGTGATACAAGTCCTCACCCACAGGTCCTAATGAAATCGGCAAAACATTATTTAGGTAGACGATGTAAAAGACCGATCCTACAACCCTAAAACTAAACTAAACCCCTATTTTTAAATGAACCATCAAATACCTGTACTGAAACATGGACTGTTTTTCCTCTCCACTTCCTTCAATTGCAATGAGATCACTTTGGCAGAATACATTTTTTGAAACTATTAATTTTCTGGGTAATTAACTTTTGCTGTAATTAACTTTTTGTGTCTCCGGAAACTTGTTTCACTGAAGAAGGCATGGTACAGTTTTTATAGAGGACGACAGGAAAAACATTAAAAAGTAAACAAGGGAAACGAGTCGGTCAAACGGTGCAACGGGTTTCAAAAAAGGTACTTAATAGGTTTTTGTCGTTTCCACTTAGATTTTTTTGGGTCGCGTTTATTCCTGGAAGTTTTCATTATCGCCTTTTTCAAAAACGTAATGACTTGATTTTTGAACAAAACCGTGTATTCATCCTCTCCTGTCCTACAATGTCAATTCAAAGACACGATCATCCGTTTTCGAGATAATGTTTTCTTTCTCTCCTATAGAACCATGTCTTTGATAATTATTTTGATCCAGAACCATGTCTTTGATAATTATGTTGATTCCCTTAATAAGCTAAACCCTAAACTCTACATCGTAAACCCTAAGCCCTAAACCCTAAACCTTAAACATAACCCATAACGTCGAAACACCTAAATTTATATGCGTCACCATATAAATGTAAAATTATACATAAGCCATAATGAGAATACACCATATGATGTAAACTGATTGTTGTTGTCCAAAAACTGTGTCCAAAAACTGTGTCCCTGTACACAAACTGTGTCCACCGGCACAGGTGTACATTCTCCACTAAACCCATAACGTGCATACACCTAAATTTATATGCATCACCATATAAATGTAAACTTATACATAAGCCATAATGCGAATACACCATATGATGTAAACTGATTGATGTTGTCCACCATCACAGTGTACAGAAACTGTGTCTACCGTCACAGGTGTAAACAAACTATGTACACCCTATCCACTAAACATCAAAGATTTCATAAAAAATATAACATAGTTCATGCCTTTCCAAGTTTAAATATAGGGAAACATAATGTACACAAGAAACAAACCCGAAAACAAAGAGAGATCACAGTGAACACAAACGCTGAGGTGTACACCGTCAAGGGTGTACACAGTTTGTGTACACCCTGTCCAGTAAACATCATAAATTTCGTAACAAATATAACATAAGAAACCTAAACCATATAAATTTGATAATAAAATTCATAACAAATATAAGTTTCCCTTTCCAAGTTTAAATCTAGGGAAACATAGTGTACGCTAAAAACAAACCCTGAAAAACAAAGCGAGATCCCCACAAAAAAAACAACAAGAGACAGACACAAAAAATTGTGGCTTGCTCTTTCCTACACACAATAAAAGACACACAAAAGCCACACCCGGTCAACCCAATGGTTCATTGCATTTTGCCCGGTTATGGCCGGCATTTCCACATCTCGAGCATTTGTTAGGCTTCTTTTTTTTCGCAACCTGCAACAGCGTATATCACTAATCAGTAATCAGTAATCAGTAATCAGTATGACTGGAAAAAAAATAATTATTTAGTGTTCACTAACCTGAGGATACTCTCCTGCTGAAAGTTTTCTCTTCGTCGTAGGCCTTCCTGATGGACGTTTTGCTTTAGGTGGCATAATATTAAGGTCACGCACCTCTGCTGGGATACGAATGTCGTCAGGGTCGGGCACTGGTAGGATTCTGCCACAAACTGTTGCACTCCAAATTGATTTCTTAAGAATTGGATCAACCAAACTGCTGTACTCCACTTGACGAAGCCTAGCCGCGGCCATTGCATGTCGGCAAAGGTATTTCAATGTATGAAACTCTAGACATGAGCATGTTTTGTTTAGGAGATCAACAAGCCTCCGTACACCGAACTCAGAACTCACTTCAACTTCCCACAAAGAAATGCCTTGAACCGATAGTGCAGCAGATTTTTGCTGCTGCAGGTTCATTAACTTGTCAACCTCTTCTGTAATGTCACCAACCATCTTTTGAATGTTCTCTCTTCTGCATTCAAGCAACCTACTTAACAATCGCCTGATAAATTCTAGCATTGCAACGATTGGATTGTCTCTTGCAGCGAGTAGTGCATTGTTTAGAGACAATGCAATGTTACTGGAGGTCATATTATACCTCTGACCAGAAAAGTGTGATCTAGTCCACAGCGCAAGAGGGATATTTTCCATGTACTCCCAACAACGATAATCAACATCCTTCAGCCTTGCGTATAGTTTCTTGAAATTAGAAACTGTGAACGCTTCTCCAGCCTTTCCGACCAACCCTTTCTGACCGGAACCTTTGTATTTACCGTGAACATTTCTCTGGATATGGACAAAACATGCACCGTGGTGTGACTGTGGATACCATTTCTTTTTAGCTTTGGCAATTCCACCGTGCCTATCCGAGATAATAGTAAGATCAGAGGAATCTGGAATAATTTCTAACAACTTCTCAAAGAACCACCTCCACGTCTTGTCAGACTCTGCATCGACAACGGCGAACGCTATTGGAAATACCTGGTAATTAGAATCTTGTCCACTGGCCGTTAGTAGACAACCCTTATACTTACCAGTCAGGTGAGTCCCATCAACAACAACTACTTGTTTCAAATGTTTCCATCCAGATATACACGCAGCCAATGCCATAAATACGGACTTAAACCTGGTAATACATTTTCCATCTTTTTCATCTCTCTCGTTCTCGGTTATCAAATGCGTTATGGTGCCGGGGTTAGCATACTTGAGCACATGGAGGTAAATCGGTAGTAATTTGAAAGAAGTCTCCTCTGTTCCGTGACCAGAGTATATTGCCAGCTCCTTAGCTTTCCAGCATTTCCAGTACAAGGCTGTAATATTATATTCGGAGAGAACAATCGCAGGTAGCTGACTCGCACGTGGACCAACTATTGCATTCTCATACTTAGACTTCAGCAGAGCCGCTATGACTTTAGAAGTAGCATGTTTAGAAAATTTCTTTCTTGTATCCGGGTGGCATGTATGCTTCAAACACGCCTTCCTCACCTCATACAACGCCGACTCGCCAACTTGACACCCCAACACTCTCCAATCACATATCTTTGATGGACATTCGGTGACTGTGTACTTCTTCGCATGCTTTTTGAATTCGAACGTCACTATATTCTTCAGCGCATTGATGGCCAACGTGATTTTAAAGTGTTCCTTGTTCCTGAACTTTTTCCCAACCCATATCTCTCCATCTTCATTTGACAAATCAAATTCATCGAAATCCCTCCCATTTCATCAGAGACTGGTGCCACATCCGGAAATCCATATAGTTCTGTACGTTTAATCGCTTTCTTCGGCTCTGCACCGCCATTCTTACGCCCCCAACTGACATCACCTGTCGGAGTCTGCACAAAATCATCATCATTCCCATGGGGAGCTAGAACATTCTCACATACAGTCCTCTTTCTTCCAGGAAAATGAATAGGATTCTCCGTTAAGACAATGGAGTTGTCCATATGTTTTGAATCACTCGGCTCACTCCTGCGAGTACTTCCACAACCCCCAGAGTCATCCTTATCCTCATCAAATCCAGGTTTAGAATGGAAACCATTACCATCTGCTAGTACGTAATCATTCCACCAGTCAAAATCATAATCCGGATCATAATCATCATCAGAGCCGTGTGCGTCATCGTCAACATTATCAGCTTCCTTCTCTTCCGAATCTCTCGCCTCGTCTGATTCCTGGGACATTTTTAATTCCAACTCAGGGTGGTCAACAGAGACAGCGTGACTTGGAACATCAGGTTTTACATTAACGGAGGTGTTAGTGCTGGCCTTAGCCTCTGATTCTTGGGACATTTTTAATCCCAATGGAGGATGGATAACAGAGACAGCTTCAAGTTGTACACCTTTGGAGGTGTTCATTGCGGCCTTTGCCTCTACTTTCTCGGCATGTGCTATCAGCAAACAATCATCGATATCTTCATCATCTGCATTATCATCGGGTTGACTAGACTCTGCCGAAGAAGAGGCTATGAAGTTTGTTGGCCTTAAGGACTTTCAACGTTCCCTCGCTATTTGAACTTCAAGACTTTCCTTCCGTTTCAATCTCACCATTTTACCATTTACTGACTCCTTGAATGTGACAAATAAATTCACAGACTTGTCAGACTTATGCAGCGAAAGGAAGAATTTGTACTCTCGAGGAGTAACGATTACACATGGACAACTCCCATCACCATTAAGCTCAGCTAGAACATCATCAAACCAGTAGGAATTCTCCACCGAAACAACTCTCGGGTTTAATCCGAACTCATGCGCAATCAGATTTCTCAAATCATCTGGTCCGGACACATCTTTGCAATTTATGCACCTTCCACGACGAGATATGTCCATTTTGAAATCTATTCTCATGTATAATACCTTATCCACGTTCCCGCCATAACAAGAATGAACGCATCCACTGCAATTCAAGAACACCATATCTAAAAAACTACTGGCAAATAGCGGACACCATTCCGAAAAAAAATTCGAAAATAACAATTACAAATCTATGGGTGTACAATAATAGGATTAAGTAACTAACTGTGGTTGTTGTCCTCTTGATCATCGCATAATTTCCCCTTCAATTTCAACATCTTCTGGAAAGGGAAACTAGGGTTTCTAATTTGGTTATGGTACTTTGTTTCTTATTTTAACCAATTTATCTCCATTATCTCTAATTAACCTCAATTTTTTCCGCCAAAATTAAAAAGAGAATGGGAAGGGCAGTTTTGCGTTGGGTAGTTTCCAGCCCATAACAGAGGCCCATTAAGGTGGTTTTTCGGAATTTCATTCCCAAAAACCGAAATCAGGCCCAAAAAACGACTCAATCACGCGCGTGAGTGCTCTCTTCCCAGCTGTTACGCGCGCGGACCGTAAACTATGCTTGGGACCCACGGTATTTTCTGCGTCTGTCTCTCTCTAAGAAACAGACTGCTCTATCTCTCTCTCTTTCTCAGAGATAAGAGTAAATTTGGCATTATGTAAATATGTCATTAAAACTTAAAACTACCATTTTCTCAAATTAAAACTTTAAAATGTCCTTATTTTCAAAACAACCCTTTTATAAATAGATTCTAAAACATCGTAACCCAATTTGTCCTAATTAACCCGACCCGACTTCGTAAGGAATATGGGCTTTAGTAGATCGGCCCAACAGACTTAACTTAAATTGAAGTGACTCTCTTCCTCGTCAAAACCCTAAATTTCTGAACTTCTCTCTATGTATATTTTTGAAGCCGCCGTGGAAAGACCCGATATATCTCAACCCGACCCAACTCAATTAAACTTCTGGCCTTCACTGGTTCTTTATTTAACGGAGCCGAATCCTTTCGTTGAAAAACCCTAATTTTGTAATGTATCCACCGCCGTACTCGTTAATCTCCGGCGCCGTATTAGCATCAGAGTTTCTGATTCTTTAGCTTCTATATAATTCCCAAGATCTCGTTTTTTTTTTATGTCTTGTGAGTCCTCTCTCGTCAAGTATGCGCTTTTTCCGATTCGTGTTTTGTTACCAGTCATTTTCAGACATAGCGACGAAGAAGCTATGATAGATGGATTTCTTATGTGGGTTTTGTTCTGATTAATCACCCCTTACATTATAACCTGAATCTGTAGTAAAGTTTTATGCTTTGCTTTGAGATTGATGAATTTTGCACTCTGCTTTCGAAGGCTATGTCAATCAAGTGACATAGTCTTTTAGCAATAAGTGCATAAAGGGAAAGCTGTTAAATCAGCAAGCGGCCAGACAACCGTTGGGATAGATCCACAGGTGAAGCAGATTTTTCTCTGCCCTCAGCTACTAAATCTATCTTACAAATTTTTGTTCACATGATTCTCAATTTCTTTCCATGTTTTTGTTGTTTCTGAGGTGTGGTAATTGAGTGTTTTTTGTTGCACCTTGTATCGAGGGTCATGCCTCGTTCTGGTGGCATGGCCATTTTCGAGGATGCAGAAATGAATTGCTGTTTAATCAGCAAGCGGCCAGACAACCGTTGGGATAGATCCACAGGTGTTGCAGATTTTTCTCTCTGCTTTCAGCTACTAAATCTATCCCACAATTATGAACCCTTATTTCAATCAATGCAGAAAGTTTTCTTAGTCAGTCATGATTGTTCTGTTTTATCGCGGAGTGATGGAGTTTAGTGGATTTGCAAATAATCGAACTAACCAAATCTTGGTTGGAGAAATGTTCTAGTTGGATTTACAATCGAAACTTATCCTAATGATCCGGTTGTTAACTTGTTTAATCCTGTTGCTTCTGGTTCTTGACCAATGCTTTCTCAGTTTGGAGTGTTTTCAAGGAATCTAAGTGGAAAAGTAGTTGACTGTTCCTCTGCACTCATAAGCATTTTGGACTAAGGAATTTGTAATTTGAAATGTTTCAGAACGTGAGTTTCTAAGAAAACATGAAGTCGTGAACACTGGTCGATTTGAATAATGTGATTAACTCAAGTAACACGTATCTAGCAACTACTTCGAGAAGAAAGTGAAATCAGAATAAAAAACATGCTTTGTGTATCTAGGTAAATGTCGGTAAGAAATTGAAATCAGAAACCCATACTCATGAATGAGAATGCTATATAGGGTAGAAATCTTTGAAAGGTCCAATCTTAAATTTTATAGTGAATGGAAACCAAGAATTTTATCCCATGGAAGAAAAATCGTGTTCCTGAAATCAGTAGTGTTGGAACTTTCTACTATTTACACAATGTCATGGTCACTTCGCCATAAAGAGGTTCCAAGAAGATTGCGTTAAGAATTTCGGTGGAAAACTTGTAAAACGGAAGAAAGGATTCCATTGAGAATCTTGGCAATCCATAATTTTACCAAAAGAAAAGAGGCTTGTGCTTTTCATGTAATACAGTATAATCTTTATAAATTAATAATATCGGGACTGCAATATTCTATTAATTTATTGAGTTATTAATTTATCGATATAAAAATTAGTTTAAAATATTAATTTGAGACTTAAGAAATGTATTAATTTATCGAGTATTAATTTATAGAAATTATATTGTATATAGCTTTTATTGGCAAATATTGGGAGTTATTTAGCTTCTGTATGAACATTGCATAGAATGGTTGATGGATAGAATATGAGATAAAATGATAAATGTCGGTAAGAAATTGTCAGACCATATTCCTTTGAACAAGTTGACATGCTACATTTGTTACACATGCAAGGTTCAAACTACAATGGGTACCACAAACACCAATCCACATATTATTTGCTCTTTCAACACATTAATGTTTAATCAGGATTTCATAATTTTATAAATTTAAGAGTGTTTTTATTCCTTCTATAGTTAATAGAATGACTTTTTCAAATTTTCCTAAATTTATGAAACAAATAATAGTTACCAAATTCATATATTTCTAATTATTATCTCTTATTTTTTTTGCTTATTAATGTTAATTAATTATATAATGAAAAATAATCTAAAAAAAATAAATTTATGTGGAAAAAAATCTAGAAAACCAATCTTTCAAACATAGAGGGATTTATACATTTTATAGATCTCACATAATTTAACACATATTTTTTTAAGACTTTAGTAGTGCTCAATCAGATTTTATAGATTTTATCGGTTCCAGCAATATATTTTTGAAGTAGGTTTTTTTTTTTGGTCAAAGTTTGAAGTAGGTTTAAGTTTTGAACAAATATGTTTTGTTCTATTAAAATCCAATGAAAATTAGAATCAGGAAAGAAGAAAAGAGTAAAATGAATATATAACACCAGTTGACCAAAACATTAGGTGGGGGTAGAATGAATATTAGTGAAGAGCTAAGACACTGCCATCAACTTTTTGTAATTAAAGAACTCAAGTAACTAATTAAAACTGGTTCCTTAATCAATTAACATCACATGCGCTAATTTGAGATCCAGATTCATCCTGTTGATCTCGCACATTTGTCCTCTCCATCCATTCAAAAAACATTTCTTCTCAGATGCAAGAATCTATAAAGCCACTCGATGACACGAGTAACCTCTTTTTTCCAATATATAAATAAATTTATTTCATTCTTTTGAATCTGAGTTTTTTTTTCCGTAAAGGGTTTTTGTTTTGTTCTCTTCTTCAATAATCGCTCCTGAATCGTTCCAAAAGCTTCACTAACCTTGCTAAGCCTTTGACAGAAGACGGAGATCACGAGACGACCCTCGATTCTCTCACGGTTCGTGATGCTTCACCTCTTTTAAATCCTTAGACTTTCGTCATCGTTCATCATCTCTGTTTAACTCATCGATCGTTTCTTTCACCGATCGTTTTTAAGGTCCTTTTGAATTTTATTGATGCATATTCAAGATACCCATCTGAGAAAGAAACATAAAAAACTCTCCTTTTTCTCTTTCCCAATTATCACCTTTCTCAATTAAAGACGAACCCTAGATTGAAAACTCTGTAGCAATTTTGAGTAATTCTATAAGGGTTATTGCAGATATACCAAAAAAACCTCTTCAAGTGTTATTTGCGATGTGGAGAGTTCTAATCGTTTAAAAAAAAATCTGGATGACGTTATGCAGAAGCGGAGAATCATCACAGTGAATAATCCATCAACGTCTATTGAGATGAGACAACACAACAACAATGGAGTTCCTTACTCAAACGTCCCCGTCGACGAAGACGAGACTCCATCTCCTAAAGCCACCGATAAGATTCGGAAAGTCTCGATGTTGCCGCTCGTCTTCCTCATATTCTACGAAGTCTCAGGTGGTCCATTTGGTGTAGAGGACAGTGTGAATGCAGCTGGACCATTGCTAGCACTTCTAGGCTTTGTGATCTTCCCTTTCATTTGGAGTATCCCTGAGGCACTAATCACAGCAGAGATGGGCACAATGTTCCCAGAGAATGGAGGTTACGTAGTGTGGGTCTCGTCTGCTTTGGGACCCTTTTGGGGGTTTCAACAAGGCTGGATGAAATGGCTAAGTGGCGTCATCGATAACGCGTTGTATCCTGTTCTGTTTCTTGATTATTTGAAATCTGGAATCCCTGCTCTAGCTGGTGGATTGCCTAGAGTTGCAGCGATCTTGATGTTGACACTTATGCTGACATATCTGAACTACAGGGGACTAACTATAGTAGGTTATGCTGCTGTGCTTATGGGTGTTTTCTCTATCCTTCCTTTTGCTGTGATGGGTTTGATCTCGATTCCAAAGCTAGAGCCTTCGAGATGGCTTGTGATGGACTTAGGTAATGTAAACTGGAATCTGTATCTAAACACTCTTTTCTGGAATCTAAACTATTGGGACTCGATCAGTACTCTAGCTGGTGAGGTGGAGAATCCGAACCAGACGCTTCCAAAGGCTTTGTACTATGGCGTGATCTTAGTCGCGGTTTCTTACATCTTCCCTCTTTTGACTGGAACCGGTGCGATCCCGTTAGAGCGTGAGTTATGGACAGATGGGTATTTCTCTGATGTGGCTAAAGCGTTAGGTGGAGCGTGGTTGAGATGGTGGGTTCAAGCCGCTGCAGCCACTTCAAACATGGGAATGTTTCTAGCTGAGATGAGCAGCGACTCTTTTCAGCTTCTTGGAATGGCTGAGCGTGGAATGCTTCCTGAGTTCTTTGCCAAAAGGTCACGTTACGGGACGCCTTTGCTAGGGATTCTGTTTTCGGCTTCAGGTGTTGTGCTTTTGTCTTGGCTAAGCTTTCAAGAGATTGTAGCTGCAGAGAATCTTCTCTACTGTGTTGGTATGATCTTGGAGTTTATAGCTTTTGTAAGGATGAGGATGAAATACCCGGCTGCGTCTAGACCTTACAAGATACCTATTGGAACAGTAGGTTCGATACTCATGTGTGTTCCTCCAACGATACTGATCTTTGCTGTTGCAGCACTCTCGTCTCTTAAAGTAGCTGCAGTGAGCTTTGTGATGCTGATCATTGGTTTCTTGATGCATCCTTGTTTGAACCATATGGATCGAAAGAGATGGCTCAAATTCTCCATCAGTTCTGATCTACCGGACCTGCAGCAACAGACGAGAGAATGCGAAGAAACTCTGATACGTTAGGAGTGTTCTTGGTTCTTTTGCCCCCATCTATGTTTTTGAGTACAGAACTTGGAAGCCATATAAGCCCAAAAAGCTTGAATTTTCTTGGTCTCTTTTGTTTATTCACAGCTTTTTCTAAAAGTTTCCGTAAAGTTAGGTCATCGTTAGCTTCTTCTTTAGAACACGGTTTTAATAAAAATGTGCAATGTTTGTATCTGCCATTGTTGATAGGTGTAATTTAATGTCTTTGAACAGAACCTAGAGGAACTTTGGGATGAATTTCGAAATCCTTCACCTATTAAAAATGTAAACTTTAACATTTCTCTTAAACAAAAGTTTCCAAAGAGGAAAAGAACAAATCAACTTTTGGTCAACACTCAACACAGTGCAGAAGATTTCATCGCTAATGATTGGAAAGACAGAAAAACCCCACAGACCCAAAAAAAGCAAATAGCAGAAGATTCAGAATCAGAACCAGTCTCAAATGTTTGACCATTTCCTCGCCTGAAAGCAAAACTGCTTGTCTCATATAAACCGGAGATGGATCTATCACTACCGTCTCCGTCGCTTGTCTGCTCATCTTTCTCAACGATTCGTCTTTCATTTCCTTTATTAGTTTATTAATATTTTGTGGATATGATATGGACAATCTCAAACCAGAGAACCACATTTTCTTCCTCGAAGATATGACATCAATACGGATATGGGTCTGTTTTGTTTTCTTCTTAAAGCATCTTTGACTCTTCTCAATCTAAAGACGACCCTCGATTCTCTCACGGTTTGTTCTTCTCCACCTCTCGTAAAAGTTTAAACTCTCGTATCAAGCATTCTAGAAATTTATCCGATTGTTTTATTAGATCAGAGAAGAAAAGGATTATCACCATGAGAGACAACAACAACAATGACCATCCTTACGACGAAGTTCCATCGCCTAAAGCAGCAACCAATTCTACTCACAAAGTTTCAATGTTACCACTCGTTTTCCTCATATTCTACGAAGTCTCGGGAGGTCCATTTGGTGCTGAAGGCAGTGTGAATGCAGCAGGACCATTGTTAGCACTTATAGGCTTTATCATCTTCCCTTTCATTTGGTGTGTCCCCGAGGCACTAATCACTGCAGAGATGAGCACAATGTTCCCGATAAACGGCGGTTTTGTGGTTTGGGTCTCCTCTGCTTTAGGACCCTTTTGGGGTTTCCAAGTTGGTTGGATGAAATGGCTTTGCGGGGTTATCGACAACGCTCTCTATCCCGTTCTCTTCCTCGACTATCTGAAATCCGCGGTCCCGGTTTTATCCACCGGTTCGCCTAGAGCTGCATCGATCTTGATCTTGACTCTTTTGCTTACTTACTTAAACTACAGAGGACTAACCATTGTTGGTTGGACCGCTGTGTTTATGGGAGTGTTTTCGATGCTTCCTTTCGCTGTAATGACTCTTGTTTCGATCCCAAAGCTCGAGCCTTTAAGATGGCTTGTCACAGATTTAGGAGATGTGAATTGGAACTTGTACCTAAACACTCTGTTCTGGAACTTAAACTACTGGGACTCGGTTAGTACACTAGCCGGAGAAGTGGCGAACCCGAGCCAAACACTTCCAAAGGCATTGTATTACGGTGTGATCTTCGTCGCTCTTTCCAACTTCCTACCTCTTTTGGCAGGAACCGGGGCTATACCGTTAAACCGGGAGCTTTGGACCGACGGTTATCTAGCTGAAGTCGCGGGAATCATCGGTGGAGGAGGATGGTTGAGATTGTGGGTTCAAGTGGCTGCAGCTACATCGAACATGGGAATGTTTATAGCTGAAATGAGTAGCGATTCTTTTCAGCTTCTTGGAATGGCTGAGATCGGTATGATTCCCGAGGTTTTCGCGAAACGTTCTCGTTACGGTACGCCATTGTTAGGGATTCTGTTTTCAGCTTCAGGGGTTTTGCTTTTGTCTGGATTAAGTTTTCAAGAGATTGTAGCTGCGGAGAATCTGCTTTACTGTGGTGGAATGGTTTTGGAGTTTATAGCGTTTGTTAGGCTGAGGATGAAATATCCGGCTGCGTCGAGACCGTATAAGATACCTGTTGGAAACTTTGGTTCGGTTCTGATCTGTGTTCCTCCCATTTTGTTGATCTGTTCCGTGGTTGTGCTATCGACTCTTAAAGTTGGTGCAGTGAGCTTTGTGATGGTGATCATTGGTTTCTTGATAAAACCTTGTTTGAATCACATGGATCGAAAGAAATGGGTCAGATTCTCAGTCAGTTCTGATCTGCCGGAGTTCGAAGAATCTTTGATACGTTAGGTCAAAGAAATCTGTATTTGTTGTTTTCTGTTTGTTTTTCTTCAGATTCTTGTAATGTTTTCGTTGTTGTTCGTAAAGCACGAGAAGATACTGTAAACGTTGAATCATTCTTTGTTTGGGATTGGTCGTCGTCGTCGCCATTATTGATCTTTTTGTTGCAACTCCGGCGAGTGAAAATGGCGAAATGCAGAAGAAATCAGAAATAATGGGCCAATGGGTTAAATAGGCCCATTAGTAAAAAGCCCAATCAGTAGTACCAAGCTAATCTGCAGATCTCAGGGGTCGAGACGAAGAAACTATTCGTTGATGTATGTGAAAAAAAGAACCCTAAACCCCTAAAAAATTTCGAGGAGAAGAAAATGAATGGTCTTTCTCGTCATCTTCGAGCTTCTTCCCTTCCTTCTTTGTTTCGTGGCTATGGTGGAATCAAGTCTGTCTGTCGATTTTCGTCTCAATCAGATGGCTTCTCTGGTTCGTTACTTCCAACATCTCATTTTTCTTGCCATCCGAGCAACCGAATCTGCTTTGTTTGAGTAATGATACAGAACGATAGTTGGATCGGGAATTTTTTTTCTGGGTTTAATCTGATTGATGCAATTTTGGCATTCGAAATTTTGGATTCGGTGGTTTTTCACTTTCATTTCTGATGCTGCTCGGTATGAAAATGTGTAATTTTATGATTAGAGGTTCATCGAATTCGCCATAGGAATCGAATCTTTGCTTAGAAGTAGAAAGCGATGGATTGAAATACTGTCACTAGTTTCATGTAATCTCAAAGATCAGCTTCTAATGGCTCTTAGACAGTTTGTTGGATTCAGAAATTAGACTATAAATGCAAGGAACAGCAAGAAATTTACAAATTCTGAATCCAATAAAAAAACTCGATTTCAATGATTCTACTAGTTTCTCCAATTATGTCTTTCTATGGAACAGCTTTAGTCTTCTTTTCTTAGTTTAGAAAACATCGGATTTCTGCAGGGTATGACTAAAATGTATCTATATTGAATGATTTTAACAGGGGGCAGGTTCGGCGAACAAGGGCCAGTTTCAGGAGAGACTGAAAAGAACTCAAGCTTACCAAACACGGGAAGGATCGGTTCTTCCCCTGATCCTAATGCATCGTCCTACAAAAGTTTCAGTGATATAAAACTAGGCTTATCAAACACGGGTTCCTCGACCTTCAAAAGCTTCAGTGAAATGAGATCAGGCTTATTAAACAAGGTAGGAGACGGTTTCTCGGCGCCTAATGCTCCTCCTACCTTCAAAAACCCGATGAGACCACGCTTACCAAACACCCTACCTGACCAATCCAGTCAGATGAATCAAGGCGTACCAAACACTGGAGTAAGCGGATTCTCTGCTCCTAATGCAACACCAAACTACCAGAACTTCACTCAATCTACACTTCTCAAAGATAACTTCCGCAGCGGAGGGATCTCGAAAGACCTGGACTTTGTTAGAGGAGTAATAGAGGAAGACGAAGGACGGAGAAGCACAGGACTGTTCTCTCATTTCCATCGTCCAAACATCGAAACAAACGCCGACATCATCCACATCAAGATGCTGCGTAACAACACGTTTGTCACGGTTACGGATTCCAAAGGAAACGTGAAATGCAAAGCTACGTCTGGTAGTTTGCCTGATCTGAAAGGTGGAAGGAAGATGACGAGTTACACAGCTGATGCGACTGCTGAAAACATTGGGAGGAGAGTTAAGGTTATGGGGTTGAAGTCAGTGGTGGTTAAGGTGAATGGGTTTACTCATTTCAAGAAGAAGAGAAACGCTATTATCGCGTTTCGAAACGGTTACTCCAATTCTAGGACTGATCAGAATCCTATAGTGTACATTGAGGACACGACTAGGAAAGCTCATAATGGTTGCAGATTGCCAAGGAAACGTCGGGTTTGAAAAAGAAAATGGAAACGTTCTTCTTCTTCATTACTTCTTCTCTGCAAAACATGTCTTGCAGGTTCACTTTTGTTATTCTATAGAAACCTTCTGTTTGCAAATTGTCTCTTTTGTTTGGTTGTGTTCTTTCTTGGGCTCCGAAGATAACCGGGTTTGAAACCGGAGTTTTAGATTCTGTGAGATTGTTGGACCAAAGGGATTTGATTAATAAACCGGAAATATGTAGACCTTTAACCGGCTTTTCTCTTTTAATATTGGGAAAAATCGCATTTTAAACCCTCAAATTTGAATTCACTGACATTTTAAACTTTGAGATTGAGACACTGACACTTTGAATCTTCAAATTAAAAACATTCACACATTAAACCTTGAAATTATGTTCCGACGTCGATCCACCTTAATTTTCGACGGAACAATAAACACCGTTAACGGAACAGTTAACTCCGTTCACATATGTTAATTAAAAATCGAATTTAAAAGAAAAAAATAATTCCGATAATTTACAAAATAAAAACAAAAAAGAATTATGACCCAAAAAAGACAGGACCCCCGAAAACAAAAAAAACAACGAAGATAGACACTCCCAAATCGATTTGGGGATTAGGGCTCATGAGGAAAATCAATTTCGATTAAACTGTGTCATTTTTGACATTTGAGAAGAAGCAAGTGATCTGGGCTACAAATCGGGGTTTAGGAAGCGAAACAGAATGAATCGAGGCAAAAAACAGTTTGAAAAGAGAGAAAGTGTAAGTTTTAAATTTCGTCATGATTTGTAGGAATCAAGAATCTGTTTACGAATTGTGTAATTTATGGGTGTTGATGCGTTTATTCTCAGATGGTTATCAATGCGAGTTCATCTGCGAGTGGTTACAATGATGGTATTCTCCATTTGTGTGATTGTAATCGGCCGGCGAAAGTTGTCAGAGCTTGGACTGATGCGAACCCTGGGCGACGATTCTACAGTTGCAATGGGCGTCAAATGGGTAACAGATATGACTCTTGCAACTTTTTTCGTTGGTTTGATGAAGAGAAACCACATGGGTGGCAACATCTAGCATTGTTGGAGGCTAGAGATGTCATTCGAGTGCAAAGAGAAGAGATTATAAAATTTGAAACAAGAGCTGGCATTGAAGAACTCGTTTGAAGCAGAAGGTCCGAGTGAAGTCCAGGATCAGCTGAGGAAAACCCAACAGGAATGTGAATCACTAAAGCAAGAGGTATTGGTTCTTAAAGAAAAGAGCACAATTCAATATCTTATGTCCTTGGAGTAGTCTGATCGTGGTTGAAGTTGAGCTGTTGATGACATTGTATTGTTCGTACTAGCTCATGATGACTTTGTAGTCTATTCTAGTATTTCTGCTGCTTGATTTATATTCTATGTGTAACAAGATTTCTATTCTATTCCATGAGTTAGATTTACATTGTTGATGGCATTGTTACTTATCAAAAGAAAGAGGTTTGAAAATTACAATTACAAAATAAGCATTAAAAACAGACACAAATGAAGTTCCGATATCATATATAGTCTTCAACTTTGGTAAAACCCAAAGGAACATGTTTCTAGTCTTCAACTTTGGTAAAACCCAAAGGAACATGTTTCTAGTCTTCAACTTTGGTAAAACCCAAAGAAATTACCGATAACATATAATGTCTAAACTAAATGCTTAAAATTTAGAACAACCAAATGCTTAATTATGAAAACACAAAGTCTAAAACCATCAAAAGACTCCTTGCTCTTCTCAAGGTTGTTGATCTTGTGGAGGATGTGGATCTTGTGAACGATGTGGATCTCCTGGAGGGTTTGGATTGAGGCCTGACCGATCATACACACGGTCACCAAAAACTTCAAAGGGACGGTCAGTGAATGGACTCCAGTAAGTACCAATCCCCTTTGGAATAGAACTGCCTCGTCCTTTTTTGGTTATCTTCAGAGGTCGTCCTCTTGGGGCTTTTTTTACATGTGGCACAGTATGAACTGCAGAAACTGATGGCTGAGGAGCACTACAAATGACCTGAGGCTGTGAACTTGACTCACCCTCTGGCAAAGGTTGAGAGCTAGTTGAAGCAGGGACTTTCTTCTTTCGTGGTTTAGGTTGACGCACTGGTAACACCTACGAAAAATACAAGAGTAACTCATATGTGAAGGAAAAATCACAATTTAATGCATCATATGTTTAAAAGAGTGTACCTGTTCTTGATTTTTTCTGGGTCTTCCTCGTTTTTTAGGTGCCTCTTTCACAACAGGTTCATTTGTACATCCTCTGTTGATATGACCAGCTTGCCCACAACGGCTACAATGAGGTATCCTGCCATGTCTTGTTACCTTTCCCGCATTCTGAAGATCTTCAAAAGGTTCTTTTCTCCTGTCTCGGTTTGGCGGTCTTCCTCTTGGCTTCCACAACTCAGGAATCAGAATTGGAGGCTTATTAGTCCTTACCCATAGTTTATCACCATTTACAGGCTTTATATTCTCCATGTATGTGCTCTTCAACTTATGTGTATAGTAATACTCAGACACATAAGGTATTGGATCAACTTGGTTGTCGTCTAATACACATACAACATGCCTGCAGGGTATACCTGCGAGAAAACACAAAAGTTATTACAAATCAGCAAACAATAATCAGTAAGAGTAAGAACTCATATTACCTGTCAGATCCCACTTTCTACATGCACACTGATGGGTGGCCAAGTTGACTGAATAACCACAAAAAAATTCCTCAACTTCATAGCGAGTCGCACTACTGCGATTTGTTGAGCAATTATTCTTTGCCAGCCTTGCTTTTTCCAATAATGCCATTGTAATTGGTGTCACAATGGTGTCACACTTGTCTGCCTTAAGAAACCTCCTAGAAATCCTTCGCATTGCTTGGCGTCTGACATCTTCTAATAAGGATAGCACCGGCTTTGATCTTGCTATCTTGATCGTCCTGTTAAACGCTTCTGACAGGTTACTGTGGACATCAGCACAATGTGACTCAGGGCTGAAAAAGGCTCTACACCACCTACGAGGTTCTGTTGCTACCAAAGCTTGATGTGCGGCTGGATCGTACTGCTTAACAAGGTCCAATTTATCTTCAAACTCTCCTTCGGTATAGCTATAAGCTACTTCCCAAAACAAATTCTTGTATTCTGACCTTCTGAAACCTTGTTTCTTCCAGTTGGCATATATATGCCTTGCACACATACGATGCTCAGCACGTGGGAATTCTGCTTCAATAGCAATGACTAATCCCTGCAACAGAATCAACAGCAAACTTAGAGCAGCCTAAACCCTTAAACGATGAGCATTATAAAGTGTAGTGTTTTAGGAATTGGTACCTTTTGTTTATCAGAAATTATGGTCAGATTCTCTCCTAAACCCAAGTCCAAATCAGCTTTCAACTTTCTAACAAACCAACCCCAAGTGTCTTTGTTTTCCCCACGCACCACAGCCCATGCAATGGGGTACATTCTGTTATCTGCGTCTCGGCCAACTGCTGCAAGGACATCTCCATTTAGCTCCCATTTCAGAAAACATCCATCCAACCCTATAACCGGTCTACAATTGTTCTTCCAAGACTTTCGAAGTTCTTCAAAGCATATATAAAAGCAGTCAAACCTCTGTCCATCACCAAATGGAACAGTGTTTAATTCAGTTGTGATGCCCTCGTGTGTCCTGTGAAGCTCTGCCTGGTAATCCCACAATTTCCCAAACTGAATAGATTGAGTAGACAGAATAGTGTCCAAAGCAATTCGCCTTCCTCTATAACACTTGGAGACAGGAACAACGATGTTATACCTCTCTTTAATTGAGTCTTTAATCTGATTTTCCTGTAAACCAATGTTCCTCCTCAACTCTTCTCTAAACAAACCTGCAATAACTCCTTGCTTAAGCATGGAAACTCTGCTTGTTTTTTTATGAGGGTGATGCATTCTACACACTTTTACCATCCACTTATTAATTGGAGGCTCGTAGGAACAAAGTACCCTAAATGGACAATTCTCACCGCAGCAAATTACAGCGATCCTGTTTCTCTCAGACTTAGCCATCTTGACATCATATTGAGTCTTGAGTGAGTACCTGAGAAGCTGGTCCTTGAACTCTAGCCCACTATTAAACTTTTGGAATAACCACAAGTAGGGTTCTTTATCCAAAGATCCGTGAAACTGTGTTCTCGAGCTTGACTCTCTCGGTTTTGCCCATTGCTCCCATTCTTCATCGGACTCTAAAGGTGTATCTGGATATTCTTTCTCACCTAAACCAAACTCTTGCTCGCTTTCTTCTGCTTCCCTTGCTGCTGCTTCTGCTTCTTCACGATTAACATAAGCTTCCTTTTCTGGCCTTATCATCTTCTCCTCGTCAAACAATTCCTTAAACCTTGGATCACTAGCACCATCTCCTGCATCTAGTACAACTTCATCTCCATCGTCATTCTTATTCCCTTCAACAGGCTGATTCAAAACAACAGGAACATCATACAAAACCATTTCCTCATTCTGATCATTGTCATCCCCTTCCACATCCGCACCACGTCCATCATCACTTCCATGAAGATTTTCCATAACTGTCTTGTTGCAGTTGTTCTCGTCGTCTTCGGAATCTTCAGGTTCATTATCTTCCCTTGGTCTGCGAGGATCATCATCATCGCTATCTTCACTCTCTGGGTCGTCTTCATTTCCATCTCCATCTTCCCGACCAGCTTCATATCCACCACCATTGTCATCCTCACCCTGGCTGCTTGGCAAATATATGATATCTCTCGGAACATCGTCTAAGCAATCGTGTTCGACATACACATCCAAGTCACCTCCTTCTTTCGCTTCACATTCAAGCATATAAGTATCATCCCACTCATAGTTTACAGTTTTCATCTCCATCCCTAATCTTTTGTACCAGATGAACCTGATAGACGTGGGTAAATTCTCTTGCGTCATGAACTCCTGAAATTTTCTCCAACTGATCTCCGACAGTTTCCATCGAACACTCTTACTACCCAACAATCCCACATACTTGTAATCTTCGTTTTCATGAGCATTGACCCGCCATAGTTGATTACGAGCTTTACAATCTTGTCGTCACTGTAAAATTGTCAAAACAAGTACGAAAATCTAAGAAATCGCAACCTCATACATCAACATCAAAAACTCAGAATCCCAGTGTTTCAAATAAAAAAAACAAAGACGATTTCTTACAGAAATTAAACTTACCTCATCTTTTATCTACTCTACTCAGCTCAATCTGGGTTTCTCTCCGCCGAGTCACAATTATTCGCCAAAACGATTTCACTCAGAAACCCTAATCCCCATTTCGATTTTGTTTGTTGTCGGGGTTATTTTCCTTTCTTTTTTCCTGTTTGTTTTATTTTTGTAATTTCGAGATTTATTGTTTTCAATTAAAATTATTTTCTTTCATTTTTAATTAACTCACGTTTAATATATGTGAACGGAGTTAACTGTTCCGTTAACGGTGTTTACTGTTCCGTCGGAAATTAAGGTGGGTCGACGTCGGAACATAATTTCAAGGTTTAAAGTGTGAATGTTTTTAATTTGAAGGTTCAAAGTGTCAGTGTCTCAATTTCAAAGTTTAAAGTGTTAGTAAATTCAAGTTTGAGGGTTTAAAATGCGATTTTCCCTTTAATATTGTACCGAGCTCTGCGTCACAGTACATACGAAGAGCTTTTGAGAATAAATACATATAAAAGTTTTGAAAATAAATTTTGAGTCTGAGGAGGAGAGATTGAGATGCCGATACGGCGGAAGAAGCAAAATAATTCTAGGGTTCCGATAATGACGGAGACGGAAACAATCGCCGCCGCGATTGACCAGTTTGACGAGAAGAAGAAGAAGCTCAAAAACGCCTTCGATGACCTTCAAGCTCACCGATCACTCCTCTCACCATCGTTCGACCTTTCCTGGTCTGAGATTGACTCGCACTTTTCCTCCCTCCAGTCTTCACTGTTAAACCGCTTCCGCCGCCTCCAGTCAGCCGCGACTTGTCCCGAATCCGAGAGAATCAAAGCCTCCGCGGCGGATACGACGGAGGCACCGCTCCTTTGGCCGGAATTGAGAACGTATTGTGAGAAGATGGACGGAAAAGGTTTGGGTAAGTACATGATTGATAATTCGAAGAAACGCTTGTCGATCAATCAGGAGCTTCCTGAAGCGATTCGATGCTCAGCGAATCCAGCAGCTTTGGTTATGGACGCGATCGAAGGTTCTTACCACTGTTCTCCATCCTCGTCGTCGTCTTCCTCGGCCAGAACGTTCGATGGAACAAGGATTTTCGTTTTGTTACTTGAAGCTTTGATTGAGATCAACGCGAATCTCACAAATGATCTAAGAGAAAGAGCTAGGACGCTTGCTTTTGATTGGAAATCGAAGATAGGTAACAAACCATCAGAAGCGTTAGGGTTTCTCCACTTGGTTGCAGTCTTTGAATTGGGATCTGTGTTCAAAATCGAGGAGCTTGTTGATTACATTTTCTTGATCTCTAAGCACAAACAAGCAACAACGATCTGTAAGAAACTTGGTTTGGATAAAACCCGAATCGCTTCTCTGATTCAAAAGTTCTTGCATACTGGGAGATTACTCGTTGCGATTAGGTTTATCAATGAGTTTGAGATGACTGATAGATTCAAACCAGTGTCTATTTTGAAAACTAGTTTGAAGAACTCTAGAGAAGCTGCGAAGAGAGTTTGCGCAGAAGGGAATTACTCAGTTAAGGCACAGAACGAAGCCATTGATAAAGAGCTTAGTGCCTTGAGAGCAGTGATCAAAGTCGTCAAAGAGAAAAGCCTCGAATCCGATTTTATACAAGAGAGACTCGAAGAATGCGTTCAAGAGTTGGAGAAGCAGAAAGCACAGAGGAGGCGTGACACGAAGCTAGCCTCCTCAGCTAATCCCCAGCAACCACAACAAAAGCTCGATAAGAAGCGTCCTCGAGTAGCTAATGGTGTAACTACGGATTACAATTTGACTGTCCAACCTCTGAGTCAGCTACAGCCACTTTTGCCTAATCCTAGCCACGGTTTACAAGTGAACCCATATGGTCTTGTGAACTCAATACGACCTGGTGTTACTGTCCCATATGGAAACTCATTGTCTCTATATGGCTCGGTCCCAGCTCCAGCTCTAGCTTCTCAACCTGTCTACTATGAGCAGCAGCAAGCTGCTAATGGTGGATATGGGTTGCCACCTCAATACAACCCACCTTACTATCCTCACTAGCATCCTCGTTGGTAAGCTTTAGTATTCTGTTTTCTAGGGATTGCAGGCGATATTGAATCGCTCGATGATAAGGAGGATATTTGGTCTAATGAGGTCTAGACTTATGTGTTTTGATGTTCTGTACATATATACTTTTCTGATGGTATAAAAGAAAATTGATCTTCTTATGTTTTTCTTTTCTGGTGAAGGGATTTTAGAGTTTTTTTTTTATTTGGCTTGGATTTCTTACATCTTTGTAGTCTACAAATCTCTTTTTTATCAGTTTACTTTTGAAGAGAATGTCTTCATGGATTAATCTACATATCTATCCCTTGATTTGGTAGATAACCTGCCAAGATTTCCTCCTTTTTTTCTTTCTTATAATTACCTAGATTTTCGATTTTCTTTCTAAATGTGTCTTGATTTAGGAGAATAGAATTTATCTAGTACAGTAGGTGTTTTGACTTTGATTTGTTGTTGTGAAAAAAACTCGATTAATTAGAAAAACTGAGTAAACAAAAATTGCCCCAAAGACTGAATTTACAAACACAGAATCATAAATAGTTCTTCTCAAAGACTTGGGATTTTTAAAAATATGCCTCGGTATCTTTTCTAGTGAATTTCGTTTGAGTGGAGAAGGAACATGTTCGTTGAGAAAAAACTGACACAGAACATGTTCTTTGTTGTACCCACATTGATTGGGATAAGCCAATCAGCGAGGTATCTGGGTCCACGTATACAGTAGATAATCTTTTTTATTTATTTTTGACTGTAAATATCTTTTTTTTTTTATGTATTTTCTCAAATTTAACTGTTATTTTAGAAAATTAAGAAAAAAATCTTCGGGCTTGAGGGTCTGGCCAATATATATTCCCACGCGTTCGTCCTCGTCTTCTCCGTCTTATACTGATTTATCTCTAACTTCCCCTATCTCATCTTTAGACGTTTATACATCATGGGATTGAAGGTACGATCAGATCCGTAATATTTTGTTACAGTAATGACCAATTTAGGTTTCATTTTCAATGCGGATCTACTGTGTGTAATTTATCGTATGTGATCAGACAAGTTTTTAATGGATCTCACCGGTTCAGTTCGTGTTCACGGATCCTCGATTCTCGATTGATTCCTAGATTTTTCTGCGTATACGGATGTGTTTTATCGATTCTTTTGGTTTGCAGATTGAGCTATGCAGGGTTTTTTTTTCATATTTTTTTTTGTTAATCTGGTTTTGGACTATGTTCCTGTAAACAATTCTCATATACGAAAATGATCACTTTTGTGGTATTGTTAATCAACTATACTAATCGAGCTTTTTCTCTGTATTGTCTTGGCTAAGTTCTCTTCTCATTACTGTGTTTTCAAACATTGTTAGCAGAGGGTAATAAAAGATTTGAATCTGAGTTAAATTTGGTCTTTGTTTATACTAGCGCCTTTGTGTTGAGTTTGATATGAAGTCTCTTTGCACTTACCCATTGAGAATTCTGAGTAGTGATGGTGGTGTTTGAGGTAACTAATTTTATTTCTCTTTGATGTGTTGATTGATATATCTGTAGGAGGATTTCGAAGAGCACGCTGAGAAAGTCAAGAAGCTCACCGCGAGCCCGTCTAACGAGGACTTGCTCATCCTCTATGGACTCTACAAGCAAGCCACGGTCGGGCCAGTGACCACCAGTTAATATTACTCTTTCTTTGTCTCTCTGCATATCTTAAGAACATTGAGAAGATCCCACGTTTTTTGCTTCATGGTTCATCTTTTCCTAAGTTAGTAACGTTTTTTTCTTACGATTAATGATTCAAAGGTCGTCCTGGAATGCTATACATGAAGGACAGAGCCAAGTGGGATGCATGGAAGGCCGTTGAAGGTAAAAAAAAAAAAAAAAAAAAAATTCAAATAATGAACTCTTAAAAAACACATTTTGTTGCTAATGCTATTGATTTGGTAGTCTAAAAAGGTCAACACTTTCATTCACTAAACCGAATTTGATGTCAGCGAAAACGACGGATGAAGCCATGAGTGACTACATCACTAAGGTGAAGCAACTCCTGGAAGCAGAAGCTGCGGCTTCGACTTGATGAATATTATGATTGATTCATCAAATCCTCCCTCTGCAGTTAAATTTATCTTAAAGCTTCAAATAACATAGCATAAGACTTGTTCTTGCTTCTCGTGTTTCTATCATTATGAATCTCTCTCTACTTTGTGACCTTCGTCTTTATTTAAAATCATCTGGTTTGGGCTATTATCTCTTGAAGATGCTTGTTATTGGTCTAAACGAAGAATCTTGATGCAAAATTAAAACCTTAGGTCATCTGTTGGCCGTTTGTGATATGATCTTTGTTGAAATGAAAATGAAGCTTATACTTCCGTTATTAAACCGTAAGATGAATGGACATTTGATAGGATAACCAAGTTTGAGATATTTTTAGGCTGATGTGTAAACCTAATTACAATCTCTATTAGCCACACACAAAAAAAGGATATAGGTGTTCTTCCTCTCTTTGTCTCTCTTTTTCATCCTACGCAATATTTGATTCAGATCTTGCCTTATCTATTGCCGCCAAATCTACGGTTGATAGGTTGTTTTTTTTTTTTTTTTTTGGTTCTGAAATGGTTGATGTAGGTTGGTATTAACAAGATTTAACTTTATAAAAAGAAAAGGTTGTAAAGATGGTATCATCATATATATTATAAGCGAAGTAAATTTTTATAGCTTGAAGCTTTCTCCTTCAATCTTAGGGTGGTTAATTACCCTTTACTCCTCCTTGAAAATCAGTTAATATTTTTAAATTAGTTTAAATTAATTTTTAATATTGTAAAATAATTATATCGAATTTGACTTAATATTGGGCTTTTTATATTTTATAATCCATTAGTTTCATGTTTTAGTTTACTAAATTATACTTTTTTATAACTCGGTGAACCCTAACATCGTGTTTTTGTATTTAGTCGCAAGTTAAAATTATTTTGTTCACCACAACTGAATCAGAAGCGGGTTATATCCAATCATCCTTTCGATACTTCATATTGATATTGATGTCTTTGCAGAAGAACCTCACATCTATAATGACAGGCTGCAACCTAGGAATAGATAGGTTGCTTCTATCGATATATTCATGTGACATTATAGATGTGAATTTTAAGCTGCAATCTTCATTCGTTCCTAAAGATTATAAGTTGCTTTATCTATATTATCATTTTGATTGGATTTGGTAAAGAAGTCATAGATACTTTTAATCGATGTGATGTTTTTTCTTGGACAATATCACATCGTCACACAATTTAACAAATCGGTTAAATTAGATCTAAGTCAGTTAGATCTAAGTCTCTAATCGCACATAATCGGTCACTTTTGAGTATTCATGTGTTTTCTTTTTAAAATGTATTTTTTTCTATGTTTGAATTTCAGGTACTTTTTCGTATGAAGATTTTAATACTGATAGTTTTTAGATCTAATATTGCGATTTTCCTTGGGTTAAATAATGGAGAACAAGATCTTTAAATTGAGGTAGACCGGTCATCATAGATAGAAGATTTACAAAAGTGTCCTTTGTATTCTTTTCGTTTATATATGTTGATTTGTACCCTTAGTTTTCTTTGAGTTTATATATGGTGAGATTTACGAATGTGTTCTTCGTATTCTTTGTATCAGTCATCATAGACGAAGATTTACAAAGAATCGTTAGTTCTTTGTTTTTGGTATTTGTGTATATGGTTAATTTCAGAAATTATAATTGTATGTGTTTATATATGCTGAGATATATCCTTACTAAATTTCGGTTTGACGTCAGCGACTAGAAAAGAATAGGGGCATGTGAAACGAAATATTCCGGCGGTGTTTACGGAAAAAGGTGAGGATAACATTGCGTTATTTTCATTATTTGTGTTTTTTTAATCAAACTTATTATTAATTTTTTGGATTGTTCGGAGAATGAATGGAGTTGTAAAAAAAATCTGTATAAAGATTTCAATTTCTTTTTTGTTTTATTATTGTCATCCTGGTTCAGGAGAATGAGTGGAATCCGATCACAGGACCTTACTTTCTTTTTGTCGTAGATACAACTCCCAAATTTAGACTTTTTTTGCCTTCCGAGGAGGTTTGCCTGATTCATCTTCTTTGTTTTTTTAGGTTTAATTCAATTTTAGTGTAATCATATAAGTGATTGGAGACAACAAACAAAAATAATTTTGGCAAAAAAAAAACAAAGAATAATTATTATAAGCTAGGTCAAAACTTCTTCTTGGTATGATAACTCTGTTCTATCAGCTTTTTTCTTTAATCTTTAATTTTGCAATCTTTTGTCCCTTTAGTTTGAGAGACATGTATCTCACCATCGGATGGAGAGTTTTAAGTTAAATGTGATTTTAATTTTCATACCTAATTTAGTGATTGTGTAGTCTTGTTCTACAAAGAATAATGAATCGAAACATATAGGAAGAATAAAGAATCAGAGACAGTATTCAAATAAACGAGAAGAAGATAACTTGATGGTAGCAATAAAGACGATTACTTGATAGTATAGTCCTAAATCTTATTGAAAATATTTAGTATTTTTTTAAGTCGCTAACTCTTTTTTGTTTTACGTGTCCATGTGTATCGTTTGGGATGAATGAATTATAACAAGATAAATGGCTTTTTTTGTGGTTCTTATGGTAAAAAGTGAAAACAATAATTTTTGGGCACTCATGATTATATACATCTAGGGGTGGAATAATTATCCGGTATCCGGTATCCGAACGATATCCGCTCCTATCCGATCTGTAAAAACCGGATATCCGTATAGTTCGGATCCGGATAGTGAAATTAAGTATTTGTTTATTTCGGATACGGATCCGGATAATAGAAAATTTTGAAATCGGATATCCGTTATCCATTTGTTAAAAATTTATTTATTTTTAATAATATTTATTTATTTTAAAAAATTAACTTTAGAATTGTTTTTGGTTTAACTCCTTTACATATGATTGAAATTCATATTGTGTGATAATTTTCTATTTTAGATTGTGAGACAAGAACATGAAAATGGATAACATATGGACATGAAGATAAATTAACTTCTCTATTAGTATTTTCTCTTTTGTTATGTAAACTTTTAAATTTTATGCTATTTTAATGCTACTTGACTGCTTTTTAATTTTTACTATTTGTAATTTGCTATGATGATACATTTTAATTATGTATGTTATCTCATTATAATTTTTAAAAATTAAAGATTTTTTTTTTAAATAAATGAAACCGGATATTCGGTCGGATATCCGTAAATATTTGGTTCAAACCGGATATCCGGATATCCGGAGTTTTTGGATCCGGATATCCGGAGTTTTTGGATCCGGATACCTTGAAAAGTCCGGATATCCGGCTCCGTTCCAGGTTACATCCTTATGTAAGTTTATCAAATTTTGTGAAATTGTAGTTTGTGCTTTGAAATACATGTTTTATTTTTCTTATGTTTTAAGGATCTCAAGAAATGATCCATGGGTTTGGATCACAGAAGAGACATGGCTTGGATCGTCAATGAAATCTCAATGATGTGGAAAAAGTATGAGGTTAGGTTTAAGAGCCACTTTGCAAGATTCTGTTTGAAACAAATGAAAATGTTTTGATAGTAAAGAAGCGTGTGATGATATGAAGAAGAAGATATGAAGAAGAAGATATGAAGAAGAAGAAAGGAGGAGATGACGAAGATACTTGAAAATAAACTAAGAAACAAAATTAAACAAAGTGAAATTGAACAAAATAATATTAAATCTATCTATTATGGAATTTATCTTTTATGAAGGTGAAAATGGAAAAGAAGAACTTGCTGGAAATTCTAGAGGAAGAATAGATCTAAATCTAGAGAGAGAGAGGTTTAAGTTTTCAAATACATGTAATAGATCAATATTTTACCATTGTTAGCTCGTATCTTAATAAAAACATGTATATGTAGTTTTGTTTTTAATAATAGTGGTCTTATTTTTTTTTCCTAATTTTTATTTTTTAATGGAAATTTTTTAATCAACCATTTATGATATACTTGCTATATGCGTTTTTGACACATCATCGATCCCGACTTCGGAACAAATTTATTTATTTGCTTGGATTCATTATACTAACCAATAAAGAGAGTACTTCAAGTTATTATAAATCTAGAAAAATAAGAATTTCTTGAGGAGAGAACGACAGAAGAAGAAGAAGGAGAGATCATGCTTGACATTCTCGAAGGAGAACCAATGGAGATCTAAACAAGGAATCCAAAGAGAGAAAGAAAGTTAAAGTCTTCCGGAACATGTAAATATGTAACTGATCAGTTAGATACCTGTCAGTTCGTCTCTTGGATGTTCATAAGTTTTGTTCTAATTTAGTTGATTTGAAAGTCAAAACCTTCAAAGACCTGTAGTTGTAGTTTGTTTGATAGTGGTGGTCTTACTTTTTTTATTTGTATATGTGTCTCTATTTTTTTCAATTCTTATGTATCCTTCTCTATTATTCATAATTGATAGGTTCGCTATTATGTATTTTGGCACATCTTCGATCATGACTTTGGAACTTTGCTTGGGTTTGTAATATTAACCTTTATATTTTGTGTGGATAATAAGAGTACTTGAAATGACATAATATTTAGAGAAAAAGCATTTTAAAAAAAATAAAATGGCAATGATCCATGAAACATATCAGTGTATGATCAAAAAAATTTCATGGATGTTGAATTCAAAAATATTAAACTGGTTCCAAACCCAATTTGAAATGCTTGAGAAAAGGTACATAAGGTACAAAGAAACTGTGGTAGAAATGACGCTGAAGATAAACTAAGTGAACAAAATAGAGAAGAAGAAGTTGAAAAAAAAATACTCAATCTATCTATTGTGAAATATATCTTTCATGAAAGTGAAAAAAATAAGAAATGCTGAAGATTCTCGGGCAATATTCAAAAGAGATCCAAAATAAAAAAGAAAGAGAGATATATACCAAGAGAGAAGGGGAGAGAGAGTGATGGAAAATATAATAGAAGATTTTGATATAAAATTGAATGGTGAGGAAGAAGCCAAAGACGAGATAAATAAATTTCAGAAGAAGAAGAAGTCAAAAGTAAGAATAAAAAGTCGGAGAATATGAAGATGATGAAGAATGAGAGGGAACAAGAAGTTGATGAAAATAATAAGGAAAAAACAATGAGAAAAAAAGATGACATAGAAAAAAAAAATTAAAAACATAAGTAAAATAAGAAGGTGGATGAGACAAAACGATAAACAAAATATAGGAGTAAGGTGATAAACAAAAAATAAAGAATAAAAAGAAGAAGGCGAAGTAGAAGAAGTTGAGGTTGAAAAGATGATGAAAAAGAAAAGCTGAAAGAGCAAGACAAAAGACGAACCGAAAAAAGAAAGAAGAAGAAGAAAAAACCAAATACGTTAAAGAAAAATGAAATCTACATACTTATGAAGAAATGGAGAAAGATTTATAGCGAGGGAAAAAAATGTTAAAGGAATACAACCATAATGAACAATGTTGTATTCCTTCATTTTTTTGGGTTTGTCAAATTTCTAACATTGTTATAATATTTTTTTATGTAGCAAAGTTAATAATGTAATGGTGTTATTATTTTAAGAAACACATCTGCTTAAATATTTATGTTTTAACTCATAAAACACTTTTGCCCGTGCAAGGTGCGAACTAATTACCTAGTAAACTTGTGAAATTGTTTTGGTCACAATTTTTGAGTAAAGGCAGAGTTTGGAGTCCATAAACTATTTCCTTCAGATAGTCAAATATCATTATAAGACTAGAGTGAATCTTTTCAATTATGTCTTATAGGATGATCAATAAAAATTGTGAAAATATCACTAAACTATATTAGAAATATATATAAGAAAAAAAATATATTCAAGAAAAATCTGCATGTGTATACGCAGGACCGGTCCAAACTCATCTGGCGCCTAAAGCACATTTCAAAAATGATGCCCTTTAATCGCAACAAAGTTTTTATTTTGTTTTTTAAGTAAATATAAAAATAATACAAAATATCATTAAAACTTTATTTTTTTGTAAGATATAAAATTTAAAAATATTTTCCACAAAAGAAGGAGAGAAGATGAAATTTTTTGTCTAGGCTTTAAAAAAAATAGTTATCTTATAATTTATATTATTTTAATTAAAAGAAAGTAAGCGTGTCAAAAAGGAAACAAAATCCATTAAATCCCTTATTGTTTGATCCAAAGAATAAAAAAAAAAAGAAGAAGAAGGAAGAATTGGGGTCGTACCCAAAATCTGTAAGGAGGTTAGAAGCAACTCAGACAACTATACCAAAGGAAGAGAATCAAAATTGCTGCCCCTAAAATAGTTATATTATTTGACGACTAAAGCCTTTGCTTTATGAGTTTTAACTCAGGCCGGCTCTGTGTATACGCAGATAACCTTTTTTTTTTGCTTGGAAGAAATTTGTTTTTTCAAGCACACAATTTTTTTTTTTTTTTTTTACTGAAACAATAATCCGTTTTCTTCTTAAAAAATGCTTGCGTCTTGTTTTTGTTTTCAAGTTTTCTTTTGTAACAAGGGCTCATTTGTTTTTTTTTGTTTTTGATTTTTTTCTTTCACTGTAAACAACTAAAAAATAGATATATTAGGTTGCAGTTATTTTTCTTAACTCTGTTTTTCTCCTATGTTTTTAAATTCGTTATGTTTTCCAACTAAATTTTTGTGCTTTTATTTCTGATTTAAATGTAAAAAAAATTCAAAATTTTTCACATAAATGTTCATAGACATTTACATGTTCTTGTTTATTCTACTCGTCTAAAACATTTTTCACAAAAAATTTCCATCAAAATGGTAAAAAAATTTAATATAATACAAATTTAACGAAAAAACTTCAACTATCACATAAAAACATTAAATCTTGAATAAATTTATCGAATTGAATCCGTACACTAGTCAGCATAAACAATATATGGTAACATCGTTTAATATACATCTAAAAAATACTTAATAGTTTGATTCACATAAATTATAAGTTTTCCAAACACATATTTTCACAATTGTCATCCAATATATATATATATAACTTTTTAGCATTTCTAACATACAGAAAATAATAATTTATGAAATGTAGGATTTACTAATAGCCGCTAGAACAATGTACCATATTAATGGCTTGAGTTACCGACAAAAAGAAAAAATGTTAGTGTTGCTGTGTTGGTGGTATAAGCTAATTATTTATTTAATTATCCAAAAGAATAATTTCAAAAATTTATAACATAAAAGACAGCGGAATGAGAAATGGAAGAACTGGGATTAATTTTTAAATAAACCGAGAAAGCGATCCGTCTGGTTTTTGTCCCTAAATATTTTCAAAATTTGAAAACCAAACGTTCCCGATTTTCATCATTTGTGTTCTCCAACGCCACAAAACGCCGCAACCCGCCGCCTCCGCCGCTGCAGCTGCATCGGGGAATGTAAATAGCCGACGTCTTTACCCCTTTTGATTGTATCGTGTAAGTCATCATCATCTTCTTCTTCCTCCCCTCCTTTCATAAACCCTAATTTCGGGGGTTCTGTGCAGTCGCAGTGGTTTACCCATCATCAAAACCATCAGTGTTCAATTTCTCATGTTAGGATTACCTCCAATTTGATCTCTATTTCTGAAATTTCCACTATTTTGCATGAATCGATTAGCTTTTGACTTTGATGACCACAAGAATCGACTAAGTATTTAAGATTCCTTTTCGCTTTGTGCATTTCGCTTTCGATAGTGATCTGATTTCTCGTAGCTACGACTCAGCTGATTCTGATTATATCGGAGGGTTTTAATTTATGCCCATTCCATGTTTTTTCTTCATTTTCAGGTTTCCAGCTTATTGATCGAAGCTCATTGATCTTCCGATTTGCCTAAATGTCTCTCTTAAGTAGGTTCTTTTACAAGAGACCACCAGATGGATTGCTTGAATTTGCTGATAGAGTTTATGGTAATACAATTCCTTTCTTAATAATGAATAAAGCTATTACAGTTTAGTTTCTTTCTTGTTCGTGTTCTAATAGGCAAATCTG